TGGGCAGCATACTGTACATTTCCGCTCAAGATCACAATTACTCTATCAAGCGACTTCAAAGGAAATCCCAACATAATGAGTGCAGCCTAACGCTAAAGTCTGTGCCGCACTTTAATTACTTCAGCTCCTCTGGAGAACTCTTACCAGTAGCCTACATTCTTGCCATTCCTATGATTGTACATGGGCACAAAATGGGGTTATACATTTACTTAAATGGGTGGTTTCCCAGTAGAGTTCGCCTCAGTCGGGCACTGCAGAGCAACTTGACAATGAGCAGTTTTAGTCAAAGTAGACTAGTCCAGAGTCGCTCATTGTGAAGCGAAGCCATTGTGTGGCTAAATTAAGCACCCTTTCAATTCAAAGAACCAGTCTGCAACCCTCACCTCAGCCCCAACCGACTCGCAGAGCAGCACCACAAAAGTGTCTTTGCTTACAGAAGAGCTTTGTGCGTATAGTTAAGGCTATCTGGCCCTTTTCATGGTATATGGTGAACTACTTGATTATGCCATTGCTGTCCAATTGCCTTCATTTGAGACACCCAAAGCGGGACAAATGGGGCCTCAGATCAGCAGTGAGAGAATTTCAGACACTAAGGCTCCATTGCCACTTTGTTTCACTACTTTGCAAAGTTGTAGAAGGGGAATGAGTGCAGTGTTAAGCAGCTGAATCCTGCTTTGTTTAGATGCCAAAGCTGTTCCTTTACGGTCAATGGTGTGCACCACAGTGTCCTGAATCTGTGTGTTTGTGCAAGTAAAACAGGATGTGGAGTAGTGGATCTACATTGGCATGTTTTTTTTTAATGTAAGAAAACATGTGTGTGTTCACATGTGTGTGCTGTGTATGTGTCACCGTTACATAAGTGCTCCCTGCTGTACTGAGGGGGGTGGAAACCAGGAGCTGCTGCTCCCTGTATGGGACGTCTGTTAAACAGGATAGAATTTGCAGGCTTTTTTCTGCACTGATTTGGGAAAATCTGCAGGAATGGATTTAAAGATGGTAAAATTGTGCATGTGGAGTAGGATGTGTGTCCACTCAGATTTTTGAGCCAAGGGGATTTTCAATGCAATTAGGTTTCATGGTTGTAGATACGAAGAGTGTTTGTCTGTCTAAAAAAAAATCTAAAATTCTAAAAAATTTAATTTAATATTTAAATTTGGCAACAAAATTTGAATTTTAAAATATATAAAATGCAGTAAAACATAATATTGTGAAATATTATTGCAATTTAAAATAACTATATTTTTAAATGTAATTTATTCCTGTGATGGCAAAGCTGAATTTTCAGTAATAATTCTAATATGCTGATTTATTTAGAAACATTTCTTATTACTATCGATGTTGAAAACAGTTGTGCTGCTTAATAAATTTGTGGAATCTGCGATAATTATTTTAGGATTCTTTGGGACGTTTATTTTATTCAAAATTCAAGCAAACAGAATTTATTTGGAACAGATGTTTTGATAAGGTTTTACTGTCACTTTTGTTCAATTTAATGCATCCTTGCTGAATAAATATGTTAGCATCCCTTAAAAAGGTTACTGACCACAAACGTTGGTTCCCTCTCATAAACAGGATGCATATAAAACACACCGTAAATCTGTACACTCATTTTTCACTCGCACTGCTGGTCAAGGACAGGCTGTCCCAGCACTATACCGTATGGGAATTTTCTCTGTGGGAATGGACCATTATAATTTCTACATCATTAGCTTCTGTGATTCTAAATTATCTCAAAACAGAATGCTTAGTGACTGTAGACCGCAGCTAGTCAAGATCTAAATCATCTTCACATCTCAAATCTGATTGTGCCGACTGCTGAAAAAGTGACAAAATAATTTCATTGTATGCTGATAGACGGATTCTCATTTGAACCTACAGAAAACTGGGAGGACAAATAATGAAGCAGCATATAAAGGGGAGATAAAGATATGGTGCACTGGGAAGGCTATTTTACGTTCGTCTACAGTGAAAGTGATAGGATCTAAATTGAGGAAGTGGGGCACAAAGAGTTGTCTCTGTGATGTTATTGAAATCCATGGAGAAGACAGAGATAAAATTGTGCTTTGTCACAGAATGAGGCACAATCCATCTGCATCTCACATAACACTGCCACACACACACACACACACACACACACACACACTTTTCCTGCTTGTGTTGACCTTAATAGAGCAGGTGTCAGCATTTGGCCATGATAACATTGAGTTTGCAGCCTCCAAACAAATGTAAGGACATACAGGCTCTGACAGCTGTTAACTGGGTGCAAACGCACACTTTCAGCCGATTGCGTGACTGACTATAGTGACATTTTGAACTCGCCACAGGGAAAACTCAAGCCATTTCAAACTTTGTTATCATCCTTTCTTTTCGGTCAATAGATTTAGAATAGTATACAGTGCTGTGGGCTCTATAGAGAAATGGGTGATGGGTGAGTGTTTGTTGTCATAATATTATACATCTTAATATTATTATAACACATGAGAGGTGTTAACACTTCACATTAGAGCATTCACATTACTTAGATGGATTCTATAGACTTTCTTTCTTTCTTTATTTTGAGGTGAAATCTATGAAATTCTGACATGGTAACGTGTGCTGAAATTCTGATTTATACTGAAAATACTGAAATATAAAAGAAACAGTATAGTGATACTATAGTGATTCGTGAAACAATGTGTGGGAATTTAGTTACCAAGTGCATCTAATATAATTATAAGTTTAGCAGTCATTGTGTAGGGGATAATGTACAGTTAGTCAGTTGTAATCACAAAATATATGTTTTTATTCTCAAGCAACTAGCCATTAAGTGTACACTTGTTATTGTGGTGCATTATGGGACTGAATGACTGCACAAGGGTTTTGGACACCACTGGCTGTCCCCTCAAATAGTGCGTATTATTCAGGGTTTAAGGGGGTGATTTCAGACACAGTCAGTGAGACTGTGATGTGATGTGAGACACATGAAAGTATTTCCGTATCAGTTACCGGGATGAGCTCTGATTTACAGTGCTGACATGGACGACGATATGAGCAAATGAAATCTCTCTCTCCTTCACAATATAAAAGAGGATGTGAGATATTCGAGTCTACAGTGAGAACTTTCTGCAGCTGAAAAGAACATGACTGAAATGAACCAGCAAAATAAACAGCTTCATGGGAGGAGTCCAGTGGGTTTTTCCTCTCTTGCTCACTCGGCAGCATTACAGAATGCTTTGCTCAGATTACATGGGTGGATTCATCAATAAGTGATGTAACACTTGGACTAAAGTGGGCAGTATCTTCCATCCTGTGGAGCACAGGCCTGTAGTGTACCAACGAAATATCCTTAAATTCAGCAGGGGAAAGAATGAATGCTGGATGCCGAGCAGCCACAGCAGCTGTGGAAATGTTATGCTTGGCTGAGACAGCGCTAACAGCCACAAGTTCCCATGGATGATGCATTGATGCCTGCACAAATACTGGTATGTTCACCAAAACAGGCTTCTTGTTCTTCAGCCGGTTAACATATGATAGGTATATTTTCACACATTTATTCATTTTTTTTTACTGAGCAAATTATATTTTCTAAGCTTAACTCTCACACAAATCTTTTAGATTTTCATTAACACATGATTTAATATGTTTAGCAACATCATATGACCCCTTTAAGATAAAGCATTCAGAGGGTCAGTATGTCTTTAGCATTGTACAAGGGCCATAGCACCGTTACTCTGTTTACTGAAAATGACTGATGTTTCAGATAACATGGTTCAGTGAGTGGACAGGAGGAAACAGAATAAACTGCTAAACAACAGTCACTAGTTTATCTGATCTGGGACAGGAGCACAGCAAAGAATGTAAGAATGTAAAGTGTATATATGCAACTAGATTTATTTAGTTGTGTGTGTATATATATATATTCTGTACGCTTTTTTCAAGGTAAATTTATATATATATGATAAAAGTTTTATAAAAGTTTAAAAAGCATTATAAAAGTGTTCTTAATACATGAATTATGTATTGTAATGCTAATAAATCTCCCTCTCTCTCTCTCTCTCTCTCTCTCTCTCTCTCTCTCTCTCTCTCTTTCTCACACACACACACACACCGCTCTCTCTCTCGCGCGCACGCACACACACACACACACACACACCTCTCTCTCTCTCTCGCTCGATGCGCAAAACTCCGCATTTGAACAGTCAATAGCAAATACTTAAACTAATAACAAAACAGTAGCTGATTCAGAAGCGCCAGATTGTCATAGCAAAGTCAGAATGACCTCCTCTCCTAGGTTCACGAAACGGTCGTCCATAAAATGCATTGCTGTTCTGTTGTAAGTAATCTTAAAGATTCCTAAATGCATCTACTTTCGGAAGGCCAAATAAAGTGCTTTTGCTTTCGCCTACAAACACACAGCGTCTCCCTGACATGCTGCTTCAACACTAACTGCGGTTACTGAAACCACGCCTTCTTTCTTTGCGTGCACATTTGGGCGCATTATGCTAATATTTCCACATAGTGAGGTAGATATGTGGGGGTGTGTTAGAACGAGCCGTTTTAGGGGGGCGTGGCAGAGTCTTAACTTTGATAAAGAATATCTCTTTGGTTTTGAGACTTTAGTCTTTGCAACTTCAGGGATCTTATCTCTGCACAATCAGCTTGTAACACTCCAAAGAGAAAGGAAAACTTGAAATCACATCATATGACCCCTTTAATGCTACATGTCCTATTCTCAATCTAGATAAGATAATGGGTCATATTTGATACTATTTTCACGACATCAGTAACTTTTAGAGTTATTGTTTCAGAGATTTACTTGTAGGCTACTTTAAAACGAGACATGTCACACTTTGTATTTATTTGCCATCCACCATCGCCAGTATGTAATGGTGTCGAGACATTAAAGAATCACTGAGTCGAGTCTGTTCAAAGGAACCGTTTGCGGAAACGAGTCGGAACTGAGCATCATTGGAGGGCGGTCTCAGTGGGCGGGGCTTTTCTGGACGTACTAAAAGCGTGCGCGAGCGTTCTTCTCGGTCTTGTACGGAGAAGCACGTGTGACTGGACGGTTTCTACCTGCGCCACTCTACCGTTATCAGCTTTACTGTAAAAACAACCTCCAGTCATGGTCAAGCTTGCCAAGGTAAGATACCTGCACACATATTACAACAACTCAGCGTTTACATTTAAACGGTCAAAGCGCGAAATGGTTAGTTTTTATCGCGACTGGTGAGAAGAAGGCCCACATGTGCAACACATGTATTTCGATCAAATGTGTGGTATAGCTGTGCAAGTGTAAGCTCTTAAGAGTGCAAATTACTTGTAATGCTAAATAGCGGCGCCTAAAATCAGCTAATGTTAAGTAATATCCGTTTTTGTTGTTTTTTCGCTGAACACGGGCTGACCACGCGTCTCCTTCATTAGGCCTCAGCCGACACGCGTGAGCTATGCTTTTTTTTTATTTTTTTATGTATTTGGCATGTTTCGTAGGGTTGTAAAATCGGCCTTTTTGATTAGCGAGGTTCTTTTGAATTGTTAGAGTGTCGTGGTTTCGCGCTAAATTGCGTTTTCGCCATGTGTGCCGTGTAGCGATGTTAGCTAAAGCTAACGCCTCCATTTTGGCTCTTTGAAGCGAACGAGCGGACATTTAACACGCTGCGTTAAACTGCATATGATCTGACTTGCGCGATTATAACATGCGAGCATGGCACATTTGTTTCTGATGCTAGCGTGTTGTATAGCAAGCGCGTGGGTTTTCCACGTGTAGCGTGAACCCCACGTGGGTTCGTCCGCGCGCAGTGCTGTGGCTTTTAAATAGTCCTTTTGAGTCGCAAACATACATTTTTTTTTTCTCAAACATTTTATTGGTGGTTGTATTTACTTGA